TCTTGTCTTTCATTTTTGCTTATGTGCTTTGTCTATATGTCATTTTGTTTTTCTCTGTTGACATATTTGTTTGTTTTTATAGTGATTAAGTGTATAACACAAGGTTGACTGCTGTACCCTTTTTTTAATTGAGAATTGAAATGGGGAATGTGTCAAAGGGACAACAACCCGACCAAAGAGCAGAAAACAGATGAAGGCCACTAATGGGTCTTCAACACAGCGAGAAAACCCCGCACCGAAAGGCCAGAGGTTCTTGACTTGGCACAGGCGCAAAAATGCGGCGGGGTTAAACATGTTTTGTGAGATCTCAACCCTCCCCCTATACCTCTAGCTATTGTAGAATAAATAAACACTCAGCAATACGCACAGTAAACTTATTTAAAAAGAAGTCCGAGTCCAATGTCAGAACAGGTAACAAAAGAAACTAAGCAAATGACAATGATACATACATTAACAATGGACTGTGGACTACAAGCAGTTACTGACATGCCAGCTCCAGACCTCAATTAAAGTTATTGAAAGATTATGTCTTCATCATATGAAAATCAAGCACAATCCCTCCCGTTAGGGGTTTTGTATCATACCGCCAAAAAATATATGAGAAGAACATAACCCGTATCATGCCAACAATTGGTTTTAGAATAAATGTGTTTATTTCCTATACAAAGACCATATAAATGAATCAATATAAATACCAAAATAATAATTTTTCAGTAATACAGAGGTTTCTTTTGTTAAAATCAAATGCGTTGTTACATACACCAGCGAATCGTACAAGTTGATATATGTAAACACCATAAGATTGTGACAAAGGAACGTCACCATCTAAAAATGGATAATTAACAATAGGAAATGAATAATCATCTCTTTTATCATAAATTTGTGTATTAAGCATCTCGTTAAAGATATAGATATCAAGATCCAAAAAAGGGCAGTGTTCATCGTAAGTAATAGCTTTATTTAAAGCCAGTTCAGCAGGATAAATCTCTTTAGTGTACATATACATTATCATATTTAGCATTTTTACCTATTATGTCTGTTGTTTTGTTCACACATTGTTGTCAATATAATGGAATTTTATGCGACTGTTATACAAGTGATTGGTTTAGCTGACTATAAAACCAGGTTTAATCCACCGTTTTCAGCATAAGAAAATTTCTGTACCAAGTCAGGAATATGACAGTTGTTTTCCATTCGTTTGATGTGTTTGAGCTTTTGCTTTTGCCATTTGATCAGGGACTTCCCGGTTTGAATTTTCCTTGGAGTTCGGTATCTATGTTATTTTACTTTTTACACCTTTTAATACAAAATCATGCATTTGTAAAATTGAGAATGGAAATGGGGAATGTGTCAAAGAGACAACAACCCGACCATAGAGCAGACAACAGCCGAAGGCCACCAATGGGTCTTCAATGCAGCGAGAAACTCCCGCACCCGGAGGCGTCCTTCAGCTGGCCCCTAAACAAATATGTATACTAGTTCAGTGATAATGGACGTCATACTAAACTCCGAATTATACACAAGAAACTAAAATTAAAAATGATACAAGACTAACAAAGGCCAGAGGCTCCTGACTTGGGACAGGCGCAAAAAATGTTTTATGAGATCTTAACCCTCCCCCTATACCTCTAGCCAATGTAGAAAAAACAAACGCACCACAGTACGCACAGTAAAACTCAGTTCAAGAGAAGTCCGAGTCCGATGTCAGAATAGGAAACAAAAGAAAATAAACAAAATGACAATAATACATAAATAACAACAGACTACTAGCAGTTACTGACATGCCAGCATGTGTCCACATGAATCGCCTCCCCGAACAGAATATCATATTTAAAAGATTAATTTATCACTTTGTGTTTACTATCTCACATTTTTATGAGCTTTGCACACAGTTTCAAGTTGGTGTGACTACAAGGGGATACAAAGATACAAAAAGACAGGTAAGGTTTTTGGGATTTTTTAATGTCTTATCTCTTTATTTAAAATCGAAAGAAAAAGTCTGTACAGTGGGATGCAACAGATTGATATGTCCATTTTTTTATGTCACTTCGTGCGATCACGGTAATTTTTCGTCTTATTAAAAAATGATAGAAATAGTTTTGTTGAAATCTCATAATTTAATTGAAACTCTATTGAAAAAATAGAAAATATTGTCAGCTCATTCAATATTTATAAAACAAAAATCCACGAGATGAAAAAATCTTCTCTAGTTACAAAGCTTTTTTACGACGAACAATCTATCGGATAAGTCCACACATTCACCTTTTCCCTTTCTAAGAAGGAATGTTTAAAAATACAATCTTATCGTTTTATTTTAGGTACAGTTTTTGCGTCATCGTCGTGGTCGTCATCTATCATCGTCATCGTCAGTCATAATTGTCGCCGTCGTCGTAAACGTTTTTTTTAATAAACAAACCAACTTATCTTCTTTGAAACAACTGGACCAGTTTTAAACAAAACGTGGGCCGAAGAATCTTTAGAGTTTCTAGTATACAGTTGTTCGTCTTGCCAAACAAAATGGTGACCATGGCTTTAAATAGAACATAAGCATGAAAAGGGTAAAATACAAAGATTGGTAAAATATCTTTAAAACTAATGAAGTTTGAAAAAAATTGTGAACAGTAAAAATTATCATTAGGTGAAATCTAGAAATATGTCGACATGACCGAAACTTGTGAATTGTTTCCAGAAGTCATTTTTAAGCATGTATTTCCAAATTTTTTTACATTCTTAGGTGACAATTCTGTCGAATGAATAATTAGTTTGATAAAGCTTTCTATGCTTTTATATAATTTTGGATTGTGTGAATTTTTGTCTTTGGAAAAAAGTTATGAAAATGGAGGCGAAAGATACCAAGATTAAAAATTCATAAGTAAAACTGACATCACCATGGCAAAAACCAAAATACAATAAAACGACAAAAAGTATAAAAAAATCAACTACATAGATAAGTAAATACCGAGCAACAAGAACTAAATAGACAAAAGTCAATCATACGCATCCAGAACGACATATTTGAGATATGTTATATCAAAAAAATAAAAGCACAAAATTACCGAACTCCGAGGATAATTCAACACGGAAAGTCCCTAATCAAATGGCAAAATCAAAAGCTCAAACACATCAAACGAATGGATAACAACTGTCATATTCCTGAATTGGTACAGACATTTTCTAATGTAGAAAATGGTGGATTAAACCTGATTTTATAGCTAGCTAAACCTATCACTTGTATGACAATCGCATAAAATTCCATTATATTGACAATTATGTAAAAACAATGTTTCTTTTTTTTTAAACTGAGTTGAAACATAACTATTGCAGAAATATTTCGCATGGCTTTGATTTAAGGGATTCGATATTAGTTCTTAATTCAATCACACATTCACAAGGAATCTATTTAAAAAAGAGTTCCAAGTGGTGCAGTTGAAATCATCCCATCGAAAATTTTTAGGACGCCAACACCAGATTTTTATAGAATACCTGTTTTACAGATGACGACGGATATGTACCGGTTTCGTCCTTTTTCTTAAATGTGATTGATAAAAAAAGAAAAAAAAACTTTAACCAGTTTTGTACTAACAGGAGCAACACGACCACTTCTACTAGTGCATTCTGCCTAAACTTCCGGAGCACCTGAGATCACTCTGGTTTTTGGTTGTGCTCTTGTTGTTCAGTGTTTAGTTGTCAATGTTTTGTATACTGTTGTTTGTCTTTTGATCCCTTTTTCGTTTTTTTTATGTGCCATGGCATTGACAACAGTCTTTTGAAAATAAGAAAGTTTAAAGATTCTAAGGGCAAATTTAAAAACAAGAAAATTATTATAAAGGTAACAACACCATGTACGAAAGAAAAAATCGGGCTTGTCAAAAGATATTTTAGATAAACAGACAGGGAATTATGTATGGATAGAGCAAACATTGTTAACAGTTACATAATATCAATACTGGTTCCAATTTTACTGTACCCGATGCGCATTACGCCATTTAATGTCTCTTCAGTGATAAACGAGGTCAAAATATTTGAAAATCGAACCTTATACAAATGTATTAAGCTGTTCAACCCCCCCCCCCCCCCCCAACAACCAAAAAAAAAATGGTTTCAAAAACAACAAAATTTCCATCAAATAATAAAATAATATCCATCTTGTGATGTCAGTACATAGTTTCTGGCTCCTGGACTGGTAATACCCTTCGTCACTAGCAGTCAACTAGATAAGGTATCGACCTAGGGTAGTACTAGAATTAACGGTACCAATTTCTTCGCATTTTGATATTAGATGTCACTTCAATGATAATCGACTGCTAAATATTTAGAATATTAGAAATTTAGAGGAGAAAAGAATGTCGGAAAAAAATCTTTAAGAAGTAATTTAGGGACGTAATATTAAAAACTACTCGCCGATTGGTTGTTAATCGTAAGGGTACTTATAATTTATGATGTATCAAGCGTAAATGACTAATAATTCAAACTTAAAGTTAACCTTTCAACTAAGTACATATGGAATACTTATCCGATTTTTCTAGCATTAGATCAGTACCACTGTTGGTAGACTGTTTGTCCTAACTTGGTATCATCAGCCTTGTAGTCGTTGCTTTGGTACATACATGATCAGTAATATACGTTTGCAATTGAATTGAGAAATTATTATAAAAACTGAGGAACCAACTCCCTTAGTCGAAATTGACCTGGTTATTATTTTAGGCCTTGTTTGACTATAGAGCTCTTTGTGTGTCTATGATGAGCTAAATTAATTAGTTAAACATCCTAGGCTCTCAGGTATTTTAGTTATGAGCGTTGATTTTGAAGGTAAATCCAGAAAAGCGCTTTTGACAAAACAATTAATGTTATAAAAAAGTGTTTTTGAATTTTTGTTTACACTGTGCATGGGTGCCTTTTCTCGAAGAATATATATTTCCTAGTTCAGGAGTTTACTCAAACTTATAGATATTTAGTTACCAATACATTTGCAGTACTATGAAAAAAAAAAAAGACGCATATCAATTTTACAAATTTTATTTGAAAAAGTAAAAATCTACGGATGGTCGATGTCATGTTTAGATGTTGTAATGTAATCCTTGTGTCCTCGTCTTTCTCAATATCCTATAAAATAAAAAGTAATTTCAGTTAGTTTGAAAATATAATGTATCTTGACAATATGCAAATATTATAAATAAAACCCCTGCTTCTTTTCTATTTTGTTTACAGTTACTCCATTATTCCGATATAAACTGTAGAAAAATATGTTAAAAAAATTGGGATATAATTTTGTTAAAAGCTAAATATTGCTGAACATAAAAATATACCCAGTGTAATCGTTAATCAGATTGATATCGACCCCTACCTTTTTTTATAGTATTGTAAATGTATGGGATGTACATCTTTAAACAGAAATAGAAACTCGTTAGTTCGAAAGTTCGAATGGTAAATTTCCTGTATCATACAGATATGATCAGAGTTGGATCTCTCTCTTATATAATAGATTAGGTGAGTTTTTTTTTCTTTCCATCATTAGACAAATGAGAGATCAGAGATGCTGATAATAAGTTAATCTGATGCATAATCAAAACCTACCTAGCTGACTCCATCTTGAATTAGATCTCCATCCTAAATTAGATCTCCTTCCTGAATTTGTTCCCCATCTGTCCAACCGTCCTAATCCACTGTCAAAATGACTGCTTCTGTATGGATCATATGAGCCGTATCCAGTAGCTGCTCTTTTGTGTCCTACAGAAGTTAGAATTATTATTATATTTATTCTATAATCATTCCACGTCTTAGTTCAAAATGTCACGATATTTTGATGCTTTAAAATATATGTTAATTATAAACCTATTGACGCACTTTCATCTTATGATAATATATAAAAGTTTCTTTTATCTACTTTACATCTGAATCAAAGTATACTGGGAATAAAAATACAACGTAGTATATTAAAATGAACACTTTCAGAATGAAATACTCAGGCCAAAGTAAATTATATATACGAAAGGTGTTACGAATACTTTTGTTGGTGAAAATACCTTATTTGAAAAAAGGTACTTAAATTAAATTGTAAATATCAAGCCAAAACTGTAGTTAATGAAGCATTGATGATATTTGGAATCAGTGTCAATAACAAGGTATGAATGTAGTAAAATATTACTTCGATATCCGCCATTTATTCCACCTGTCAGATGTCCGCCATTCCAACCACTATTCCATCCATTATTCAGATTTCTACTATTCCATCCATTATTCAGACCTCTAGATCCCAGCAAATCCCATGATCTTTGATTTCTGTTGTATGTATCATAACCGCGAGCAGTGGCCAAAGTAACCATCACAGCAAACAAAATAACTACGGTTAATGTATTCATGGTTTCTGCAACAACAACAAAAAAAAGGTTAATTACATCAATATTACTATATTAAAGTTGAATACTTTTTTAAGGTCCTTTTAGTTATGTAGCTCTTCACCTGTTTCAGTTTTATTCATCCTTGACTTTCAAATATTCGGCTTTGAGTGTTCCCGATGAAGGTACATCCTGAAAAGCGCTTCGGACGCATGAAATTGATAAGGTGTTGTTTTCATTTTTTTATATCAAATTAAATGTGCTTAAAATTTTTACTGATTTATTCACGCTACAAAAGGGAAAAAAGACAATTCATAGAAAAATGTTTACACCAAAATACTAATGAAAAGGCTGCATTGCAAACAATAGGATGCAAAAAGCCACTCATATTTAAAAAAATTGATCTAACTCATTAATTCGTAAAGTTGCAAAAAGTCTACTATACATTTATCATTATCTCAAATTTATCCTCCTGTATCATTAAAAGACCTAATTGAGAAAACATTTAAAAAAAAATTCAAATACAATGCTTTTTCGAAGTTTTTTTTTAATAAAATAATGTATTTAAATTCAGAATATGTAACTGCAAAGATAAAACACGTATTCATATAGTTGAACTAAACCAGGATATCATATCTCTATTAAATAGAAACAAATGAGATGAAAAAAACTAACCTGTGTTTTCTTTTCTCGTAAGTATTTGAAGATGGACAAAAAGACCAGATGTGATAGAGAACATTGAGAAAGCATTCCACTTTTATACTATTTTGATTAAAGGAAATACTCCTAAATAGGGGAATTTTTTAAACCCAAAACCACACACAAAAAAAAAACTACGTAGATTTAAGTGAAACAATCACAGGTTGTAAAGGTTACCACTATGACTAGCATGTCAATGCCATTGGATAGAAGCTAAGTCTTTTATGTTAAGTTTATGGGCACATCTGTCATATACTACTTACATATCCATCATTATGCATTCTGTTAAACATTAATAGGAAAGTATAAACAGTTAAAACATTTAGAAATAGAAATCGTAGTAAACTTTTTTTCACATCAGTATGTAGAGTATAAAAACAAAAATAGGTTGCTTCATGTCTGTTACCTGTTCACTAGTGTATATAAAGTGCGAATTCAGCTAGTTTATTTTCACTGTTGTACGCGAGTATTACTATTGTAGAATAAAGGATAATGGGAAAAACTGCGTTTGTTTACTTTTGAAAATACAAAATAAGTAATTTGAATGTATGTTTTAACACAATTTCAATAGAATATGATTTTTTAATGTATAATAACAGAATTAAAGTCCAAGAAAGTGTAATTAAAGAAGCTGAATCCATAAAATTGATTACTGAATGCGATTCATTTTAACTATAAATGCGATGCATTATCATTGTAAGTGCAATCATTTCTGATGTGGAATATTTGGAGTTGCGATGAATTTTCATTGTTGTTTAATGTGATAATTCGACATGCAACAAGTAAAATAGTCATTTAAAGACTTTTATATTGATGATATTTTCAATTTGAAATGCAATCTAGTCTTAGATACTTACTTGAATATACACGGGCATAACCATGGTTGATTCCGAACGTTGTGCGTTGTATTCCGTTCGTCGATTTTTTCTGTACGTTGATGCGTGTTTTCGTTATAGTTCTGTACCGTTTGTTAGTAAAACATCGAGAAGAACAATAATTGCTGTTTCTATTGAAATACCTATCTTTTATATTTTGTTCGCAAGCATTTGCAATTACTTAAACTATTTGACATTTCTAATATTTCATATTGAAGATTAAAACACCTTAATTTTGTATTCGTTTGACGTGAAACAGAACTTTCTGGAGCAAGAGAAGCCCACTCATCGGGAGCGCCTGATTGCAATCCAGCATCGCATTTACAATAGAAATGAATCGCTCCTAGAGTGAAAATGAAAGTTTAATATCATTATTCGACAGTAAACATGAACCGCACAACAAAAGCAGCATAGTGGAATTTAATTTGATATCAACAAGATGAATGACATAACCTGTTTAAGTAATACAACATTAATATTTATGTTAAAAGGTACATTTTTCTGAAAATAAAACTTTACTGTTGCTTGTAAATCTCATGCACACGCTGTTCGCGAACTATTCTTAATATTTATCTATTTGTGTATTAATTTTACACCTGAATGACTGTAGATGCGATGAAAACCCGTCCGCATCTCTTACCTTTATCATGAATTTATTAAAACAGAATATTATTTCTTATTTTGTTAAAAAATTATAAGTTTTGTCGTCTTTTTATTTATCTTTCTACATTAGAAATTCATAACGGATACAGTAAAATGGTATTTCAGGATTCGCACATACACTGGTCACGCTCTCATATTTCATCAATGAATGTGTTCATATTCAAACTATTGAAAAGAAATCAAGTTATACATAAAATTGCACACACGCGTGCAATTATCTTAATTGTTCGATGCGTCAATGCATAGTCGCTTAATTTTAATTATTAACCAAAAAAATGCTACGGATATAAATATGAAAAAAAATATCCAACTTAAATAAATGATTTTCCAAGCCCCGTGTAAAAATAAAAATAAGAAGATGTGGTATGATTGCCAATGAGACAACTCTCTACCAGACAACAAATGACATTAAGTCGACGACTATAGGTTATCGTACGGCCTTCGACAATGAGCATACCACATAGTAATTTTTTAAAGGCCCCGGAATGACAAATGTAAAACAATTCAAACGAGAAAACTAATTACCTGATTAATGAACAAAACCATTTACGTAAAATAATTATGATATAAAGCAACAAATCTGTCTGCCAATACTCAGGTTAAAGTATTGGTTTAAGGTAGTGTACTGCATGTCAAAGTTTGGTCACATCAACTTGAAATTTATACATTTGTTCATTACAAGTTCGCATGGACACATATTCTGTTTTGTATTACTAGATATATTAGCTTATGTTGACTATGTTATTGCAACTTTATGAATATGTTTAAGAAGATTCTTAAAAAGTAATTCCAAGATATTTTTTTATGTAAATACACACAGTTGACATGATTATTTTGTATAATAAACTTTGTAACCATAATACATATAAATATATGTGCTTTTATAAGCATACCTCTAACTATAATGGAACACGTGATGTCAGAATGAAACTCCTGTCATTTCAATGAGATTAGTTAGCTTGTGTCACAGAATAAGCCGTAGTATGATCTTTTTTTCATTTCTTGCTTAACCCCGTAAACCATTCCATACTTCTGTGTTTATAAAATACGAAATTATCATAAGGTTGATAAAATAAAATTAACATTTCTTAAATAATAGTTTAAAAAGAAGAATGGTTTGTAAATCAATAACTTTAACACTCACTTAATGAAAACTAAATTAATTACCATGTTCTTGATTGATTTCTATTTTATTCTTTGTATCAAATTTACATCATATAGATTTGATCATTTTATAATCTAAAAGGAGGACAAAAATGTTTCCTGTAATCCCTGAAATGAATATTCAGTATGTATGTTGCATGTTATTACATTTATTTTATAACGCAAAGGAACAAAAGCCAAATAAAGTTCAAAGTGCCGTAACTAATTTTAGTGTAGGAAAACGTATGTACACTTAAGCATATTATTATCTTATTGTTATTTATATATCTTATGATCAAATAGTTTCTTGTCAAAGAATACTTTTTAACAATTATCGTTTTAATGCAAAAATTGATGATTATATACTCCTTTCTTTATTTTATGTCTTAAAAGTTGTTTGCATGTGATATGATGAATAAATAACAAAATCTATCAGGCAAAACATACATAAAGGCTTCTTTTACAAATATGAATCATAAACAAATGTTATTAATATTCATGCAAAAAACTTATAATGGTGCAATATATGGGCATGAGTGACTTACACAATATCCGTAACAGATTGAAATTTAACGTATATGAGCTTATATCACTATATCAAAACTTTTGACTTTTTCTACACTTTACACAAGAATTCCCAATTACGAATTAAAAGACATATTGAAAGAGTTGATCCTGCTTTGTTTCATAAAATAGAATGACCTACGTAGATGCAAGTTTCTTGTCTTAGGGAGGGATAAATGGTACTTTGTAAGAAAAATCATTCTAATTCAAACAAAAACTTCTCTGAAACTAACATTACCAATATGCTTGATTTCTCGATTGACAACATATTTGTCACGTTTGGAGGACTTGTTTTTCAACATTTAATCGGCGTTCCAATGGGAACAAACTGTGCTCCTTTAGCTTCATTTTCCGCTATATAGATGATGTTCTCTCACTAAATATTTCAAAATGTGGTGACTATGTTGAACGGATCTATCCCATTAAACTTGAGATAGA